GTAGTACATTATTTTGAATATCGTGTCAGCAAATCGGGATTGCCACACACAACTGGCTGAATTGTTTTACCAGTTCATTTAAAAGACTTTACACGCACGCGTTTTAGAAGATTCAGTCATGTTAAACATGTCAAATTAATTGAGCAATTCTGACAACAAAAACGCTGAGTATATCTGGTATTTTACATTGCAGCTGAGTGAAATTGTTGTGAAGTTTGCGTCCCAGTTTATTCCCTTCACGCTGTCTTGGCTGTAGCAGATAGTCATTAGAAAAATATACTGTATTTAAGCCTCAGCATGTCCCGACTTCACCCCGGGCTGTTCTTCGAACTGCACGGCAAAGAATGCTCCGGCATCCAGTTGCTTCTGCGTTTTATTATGGTGAGTTCTTGTCGACGTCTACAGAGATTGTGTCATTTTGAGTTTGGGAATGGAAATGGGAGTCAGAGAGGCTTTGCCTCGGTGGCACGTTGTATGGGGGCTTTTATTTGCTTCCTCACAATGGGTTCACATGGAAAGTAGATTATTGCACCTGGCTGCTGCAGGACCGCCGGTACGCTGGAATCCTATCAGACCAACAGCAAAGAACCTGCTGGGACCCCGACAAATCCACCGGCTTACGCTGCTGCCTTTTGAAGGGATACAAATCACTACATCACCGCTGGGAGGAGGTTATGCAGTGGGAGCCGTGGTACAAGTCCTTGCTAATGCATTCATTCTGCTGCCTCTCGTCGATTACCACTGCACGCCGTTCTTTCTAAAAGCTGCACGGTAGTGTTCATACCGCGAAACAAAACCCTCATATCATCATATAAGAACTCACACCAGTCGGGAGGAATTGCAATTTGGAATGAAAAGGGCAGAGACCTGGGGTGGTTTTATCCCACCTCGGGCCAATTAGGACATGAGATGGAGAGCTCGTTCCTGCCCGTACGGAAACACCGGGTCAGTCAGGGCACAAGATCACATATCACAATGTTTACAAGATACCTCCTAAGCACATTGGTTAACCAACAAGGGTTGACTATTCGTTCCCTTTTTTAATAAGAAATTAACATAGTGTTGTATTTTCTTTATGAATAATAAGCCAGAATAACAGAACAGCTACTCTGGATTTATAGTGAACATACATAAAGCACATAACAGTCATTCTGAAAACAACCAGCCGCCTCTCGTGCATTTCTCCCCTTTCAAAGTGTCCCCCTCATCAAGGACATAATTATTCAAATAGCTAGAAGTTTTGTTCTTTGAGAACAAATATTTGGTAATTAGTTTGGGACAATTTTGCTGCACCTGCAGGGAGTTGGCACAAGTATTGTTATAACCATGCATTCGAGTACTGACAAATGTATCTGCTCCCTTTATTGGGCGGGAAAGGTTCTATCTTCCAGAGTTTCTTCTCCGCAGCATATAGGAAGAAATAATCATTTTGAACTTGTATTTGTCCAAAGGAATGATTTGCAGGCAGCTTATTTCCTACCTGCTCCTTGTTTAAGGGAAACGTTCTCACATTTTATTTTTCTAGTTATCCGTGGCCTTTCTTTTCCCACTCTCCTCCCTCTCCCCTTTCACTCCTCTCCCATTCTGAGATTTCTTTTTATTCACCACCTTTTTCATGGACCCACACAGACATTTTTTCCTCATCCTCCATCTTTTTTTGTTTCTGCACAGCTCTTCTTCCTCATTTTTTTTCATTTTTTTCATTCTCCTTCTCTTTTTTTTTTTTTCATTCTCACTTTTTTTTCTAGCACCTACCTCCTTCTTTGCCCATCTACTTTCATTTTCTACCTGCTCCTCCTCTCGTCTTCCCTGTCCTCCCATTCTGTGTCGGCTCGGCCATTTCACTTGAGTATGCGTGAACAGGTTCTTGGAAGGTTGTGGCTGAGGGAGGAAACTTTTTGGCGAGCTGGACGCGGCGTTCCTTTATTAGAAACTTTCAAAGAGTTTCAACATGCCCTGAGCAGACCGGATGGATTATTCCCTTGTCACATTCAGCATTCTGCTGTTCTCTTGTACTTAAATTCCGGGTTTTGCACGTCTCAAAAACTCTTTTTTTTGCATTGGGATTTGGAGTTATTTGGAGCATGCAACGGAGTGTGGATTTATTTTTTGCTATCTGCTGTCTCCACTCATCTAGTACCACACACACCCTCCTCTTTCCCACACCCACACACACAACCACTTAATCTACCACTTTCTCCATCAGCGGGGCCCCTCTATTTCTGTCTAATTTCTATCAAGATTTCCACTCAAGGCTGCTTATCAATTCCCCCTCCTGTACTCCTGTACAAATGAACAAGTCAGCCAGCAAACAAACAAACAAATAAATGAAATAAATTATTTAACAAGATGTAATTCACGGAAACACAATGGGGAGGGCGGGGGGAAAGCGAGCAAAGTCAAACAAAAAGTCAATTTCGGTAAACTACAAGAGAGAAAAAGCTGGGTTGGATGGAAAGAATTGGACAAAGGGAAGTTCCCCCGGCACATTTGCATGAATTATGGGCCTAAAATTGAGCAAGCAGCGATTGTTTGTCTCTATTAGATGGTCTGTCTCCGTCTCTCATCAGCGAGGAGCGACGGGCTGAATAATCATCCGTGTCGAGGACAACACGGCGTCTTTAGTGAGAGCTTTGCCCCCGTCCCACCCCCCCGTGGGCCCGCTCACCCATGGGTGCCGGCATTCATCTCGGTCACTTCTCACAGCACCCAGAGCCCTCTGGCTTAGCACGTGTACCGGAAACCCTTACCAGTCCGCCTGAACCAGGGGCTCCCCAGCCGCGGCCGGTTGGGGGTGAGGCGTTTAATCCTCTTATCACGGGTCTTTTAACTTCTCCTTTCCCCAAACTCCCCCTCCCCCTTCTCGCTCTCTCTGAGCGTAACTTTCAGACAACTTTGAACCACTGTGCGGGGACGGACGCCCTTGGTGCCGGCGGTGCGGCTGCAGAGTGAGGATGCTTATAAAGAGGCGTTGGCGTTTTATTGGGCGGCGGTCAAACTACTCCTGCGGTCAGACCGGGCATGAGGACAGACAGGTGGTGATATTATGTTAGAGCTCCAGGAGACTGTTATTGTGCAAACTCCACACGCGTCCTCAGGACTTTCTCTCCGTGGTCGTCCTTCAGGATGTTTGCGCTGTATTTTCTGTCTGGAGGTTTTAGCGTGTCAGTGATTTTGATGGTGTCGTAGTGGCAGAAAGTAAATCAGATGCCAATTCAAATTTATACTGATCAAATTTATTATCTAGATCAGGGAGTCCACACTGTCAATATCAGTTAATGGATGTCCGATCATATCACATCGGAAACTAATAACTTAAAAACAGCGGAAACATAAATAACTGAATATCCATGCACAGAAGCCAGAGCTTTGGCATTGTGTTAAACACAGCAGATATTTTAAATGGTCAATAATACATTTGGTTCCAATTTGACGAATAATTCCAAACTGAAACTGTTTTGTTGTGGCCTAATTATTTGTAGATATTGCAGGATTTTACTGCAGGATTTCACACTAAAATCAATCTGGAAACGTGCCGGTGGGTTCAGGTGTAGCAGCCTGGGACCACTTGGCTCCCAAATGGGCTTCATGTCCACCCAGGAGGCTCTGTGTGTGTGTCTCTGTGTGTGTTATGTAGCCAAGAGGGTGTCCTGTAATATTTTTTTCATAGTATGTTTTGATACAGCTATGGTCCTCATGCAACAAGATGTTTGTATAATGTTGGATATCCTTGTAAAAAAATCTCTGGGACAAGCCACTGCTGAGTAACAATACTCGTGTTAACGTTCTACATTTTCATTACTTTGTATGTCAGAGAGTAGATAAACAAAATGTGAATTGTTTAATATTTTGTTAAATTTCACCATATCGGAAGTTGTTCCAAATGGCTGTGTACTATTTGAACTGACAGATTAACAGGAACACTTTGCACTAAGCATGAAAGCTGATAGCAGTCACTCTGTTAATGTCACTGAATCACAGGAGATAGCTTGTTGTGTTGATAGCATTGCATTACTAATTAACTTCCTTTTACAGCAGAAACAGCCCTGCAAATGCAGTATTAATGTATTTCAAAGATGTTCCAGCTTATGTTAGCTGAAGTCTAGAGATTCTTTGAGGCCATTTGGCCGTGAACATTTCATCCGGCTAGGTTTTACAAGAACTAAATAGATTTCCGTCTTTCACAAGACATTTTGAATGCAATTTGAAAGGAATAACCAGAGAAACTATTATAATTTAAAAGAATCTTTGTGTTGGAGGTTGAAGCACTGAAGCACTTTCTTTGCTGTTTTGATAAAAGGCGGGGGAAGATGAGGCAGGAGGATAAGGGGAAGTAAGCGGGGAAACATGTCAAATGAAATGTTATTGACTATGATGGAAAAATTATGGAGTCGCGGCCTCACGTCATTATCGTACAAATATGTGCATCCATCAAGCTTGAGCTTTGCCTAATCACGTTCATGCTCTGACGGCATTAATGAAGGCTGCATTCCATGTGCTCGGTCCAGCCTCTATGCCATTTTTACCGTGGCCTTTTTTCTGTAAATGCCGGTATAACATTAATGGCCCAGGTCCTTTTTGGTAGACAAAGGGTCCAGGTGGTGCATGCTGGGTAACTAGATGGCTGGCTGTAACACACTGAATAGAAAAGAACCACTATTCGTTGGGGCATTTACAACTGACGCAATTGTAGTGGTGAAAAGAGCAACTTTGGTTGTGTAGAAGTATGAGAAAGTGCCTCTACTTTGTGGTCCCTGTACCGCTTTAATTCAGCATGGTGTTTGTTTTGAAAAAGGATGGTCCCGTGTAGCCAATATTGAACATGGCTCTAAGTAAACCGATGGTTTAGTTTATGGAAAAGATGACACAGGTTAAGTGCCACAGTTTTGAAACCTTAATGGAAACCACACAAACTGAAGCCGTGGAGCCTCTTGTTCGTCTCCTCGACATGTACGTCCTTTCAAGGAGAATGGTCTAAAAAACCTAATTTCCTTCCTCAGAGGTCGGTGGCATATCATGGGAACTGGCCTTTCCGACGGTAACGTACTCTGCTGTGATGGAAGAGTCGTGTCGGCCTTGAGCGCTTAGAGTCAGCGGGGACACAGAGGCTCCTGTGTAACGAGAGAGAGGCCTCCCTGTGCTGTGACTCGGATGAACACAGCAGTTGTCGGGGAAAAGGTCAGTGGATTTTGTTGGTATTCCGCGGCCGTGAGCTTTTTTTTTGGCAGGACACTTGGCGGCGCAGCGGGCACTCGAGCTTGAAATGATGTTGCTTCCCGTGGCCGGGAGGCGACGGCTCCCGTGCCACACAGCGTACGCGGGGCGCTATAAATCCTGCCGTGTAAATAAAGACCCGCCTCGCTCCACCACGTCGCACTCCTTCTGTGTCCTTTTTTCTGAACCCTCAATGTTCCCCTCCCATTTTTCTTATTCTTCCCCCTCGTTATGTCTTCACGTTTTTTACTTTTCCTTCTGTGATGTTGTGGTGAACAAACGCTGTCATTGTATCCTTTTAAAGCTTCACAACCACACGCGTCAATTCCAAAGATTGCTGCTTATTATATCCTCCTTTGTGCCTTTCCTTTGTCAGTCCCATTCAGGGTAGGAAATTGACATATTATTTAGGGGGCAATTTTTGCCCTCACTGACTGAAAACTAGGGGCATTTCATAAGAAATTGGGGCATTTTTTTACTTTTGAAATAACATTTTACTTTTTGTCAAAAATAATAAATATACTTAATTGGGCTTAGTTTAAATGCAATTGTCATCAAATGACAGTAATAAGACTATTACATTACATTACAGTAATTTAGCTGAAGCTTTAATCCAAAGCGACTGGCATTACATAATAGGCCGTAGTCTAGTGGAAGTGTTTTATTTTTTTATTTTTAACCAAAACAAACAGAAAACCTAAATCAGACTCATTCCATTTTATTTGTGTTTCTTTGTAGTTTCTCGTGTTTAGCAATATGTCAAGCAATGTCAAACAGCTGGACCACTCTGCAGAACGCTGTCTTCTGCATCCGACTCACAGGTTCCACAGTTGGCTCTCTGTTGTGGAGCTGATTACTACACGCTTCTGTAAAAACAGAACAAAACATTTTAACCTTGAAACCCCAAGTCAACTGCAGTCTCAACTAATTGTGTTTTACCCAAAGATTGGCTGTTAACCACAAGATGCCAGTAACTTATGAGGAGAGGAAACCGCTCTCACTGGCTGCACTCTGTCTAGCGTTAGCTAGCTAGCAAGCCTTCGTAGCTAGTTAAATAGCTAAAGTAGCTATTATATATTTAGCTAATAGGAGCTAGCTAACGTTAGCTAACTAAATCCTTTTAAAATAATTATCACTTAACGTTAGTTATCACTCACCGTAGGCGATGGTACATTGTTTAGTGGTCTGGTGACAGAAGGATTTCTTTTTGTTTTCGCTCCCCAACGACGTTGGCGGTTTGTTGTCGGCAAGTTCGAGTCCCTCAGGTACCTTGCAAAAAATGTGGGTAGTTCTCCTGTCGTCTTCCTCCACCCCAAGATAAGATCAGATCTTCTCGTGGGCCCTTTTGGACCTGAGGTGGTGACGGAGGCTGGATTTGCTCTCCGCGGAATCACGGGTCTGATTTTAATTTTAAGAACGTTTGCTTCTTCCTGCAAGCGCAACATCCGTCAACTGGAAACTGGACCAAGTCATAAAGGCTACGATGTTTCTGACAAATTAACAACATTTTAATTATTGTGAGATAAAATGATGGGGGCATTTCTTGCCCCTCTCGCAGTGAAATTGGGAGCAAAATTCTATTTCTTGGGAGCAATTTTGCCCTCGTGTATTTCCGATGCTGGTCTTATTTACCCTCTTCTGCTTCTCTGTGAAGTCTTTTCTTCCAACTATTATGTGGAACGCTACCTTCATTTCCGTCTGACTCTGCAGAGCCCGACGAGGCAGTTTTGAATCAGGCTGTTCCGTAAAGGAAAGGGGAGGTAAATCTCATTTAGTCACAGTTTGACTTTATTAACTGCACAGCAGGAGGTGACAGAGGTTTATCTTTTGACAGATGTTTTGAATGCTGCTTGTGGTGTTGGACCACTACCTCCCACCCCCAGTGCTCAACACACAGACACACACGTACTCTCACACAGGCAAACGGCCTTGTGGCTCCCCATCAAACCCACGCAGCAATCAGGCCCAGCACTTTAGAATTGGGTCACTGCAGATGAAACTCGACTGTAAACGTGCCGTATGTCCCAGAAAATGAATACATCATTTATCACTCCTCCTTTTCCATCAAAATTAGGGAGTACATATGGGTTTTCTAAATGCAGAAAACACCGTACGAAAGGAGTATTCCATGTGTTGGGACGCACTTTCTCTTGTTTTGTTCTTTTTTTTTGTCTGCATGTAAAGCAGAATTACTAAACTGTGAAAATGGTGGTTCGCTATTCTCATCTCAGACCAGAGGCTCGCCAACCGTTCAAAAAACAGAGACAAGAGAAATATGATGAGTTTCATTTCTTTTCTGACAAACTTAAATGAAGCATTTTGCCTGACTGGATGCTGATGGCTTTGAGGATATTAGCATATTAATTGTATATTTTGTAAGTAATCAAACCATAACAATTTTCCAAATCCATAATGATACTATTTATTATATATTCACTTCAACCCACGTAGTGTAGAGTGCAGAGTTTCCTCACCACTATTATGAACTAGATTCTAAGCGGTTTAAAATCAGATCGCAACCTTGTTAAACAATCACTGTCTGTCTTTGCCAGGCTATCTGCTGTCTACACCAGTTCCCCCAAATTCTGGTCCCTCAACCCTTGAGGCTTATCCGTCCTCAGAGCGATGGCCAACAGAGTTTGAGGTCGCACGGAATTGGTCACGGTTATGTTGCAAAGCCGTAGTCTTTCTCCAAGTGTGGTAAATCTATTTTGCACATTTTTCTGAAATCTTCATCGTGTTGTGACACCACATGGCTTAATCCATGTTCTGACTTCACCCCATTTTTGCCAACGAGCCAACGCACTTGAGTTTAGATGCTCTTAACAACCAACGTGAGTCCAAATCCCCGGCATTGTTACACTGCTCAGTTCCACGTTTAAGCTTGTTATCGCTTTTTGTGCATCATGTTGAGTTCTGAGAGTAACCTCGATCTCCTCTGAGGAGGAGCTCTGCCCTTGGACTGTTTGCTGTTTGGTGGGGGGAGTGGCCGAGGCAGAGTGCTTGGTCTTCTTCCAGAGGGGAGCAATTTGCATTTATTTGCAACGATTGTTAATCAGGGTTTTTGTTCCAAGTTCCTGTCTCTTAATATAATTTCCATATCTTAACATTTAGCCAACCTTGAGGATGGCATTAACAGCAAAGTGGAACCTTGGTTGATATTTGAGAAGACTCATTACTCATTAAGTTAATCTTTAACAGATTTTGAAATATGCATCATTCAGAATGTGTATAACTTATTATACATTCATTTACAAAGTGAGTTAATAGCCTTGCTTTTTCATTTTTAGTTGTCTACTTTTACAATCAACTCTGAAATCTACAGGAAATATGAAGAATATTTCAATGGGGGAATGCTTTTATTCAATACACCTCACATGCACATATAAGTGCATTTCAATTTATATGGCTGTCGCGCATCAGGACTGCGTAAAAAAACTTGCATAGCCTTAAAGCCGAACTTCCATTACGTGAGTCGCATTCGCCCAATAACTCTACTTAAGAAAGCGCTTTTGAATGAAGTCCAACTGAATTCACTCCTGCAGCCATGTTGGCAGATTACTGGTTTCATGTGCAGGAAATATATGAGGCGTGCGTTTAGTTCAGGTTCAGTTTAGAAAAATAAATGTTAATTGTTGAATTGAGTTCTCCCGTCACTTTGCATGGCAGACTTCCTTTAAATTCAACCTGTCAGGTTCTGAGGCGTCTCCTGCAATTTTTCTTCGTCGACAGCGGAGGATGACGAGCTGAATATTTGCCATCAAGGAATTGTCAGATTCCCTTTGGAGAAAACAGACTTAACTTTAAAAAGCTGGATGTACAAAGACTGAAATATAATATTTTTTGAAAAACTACTCTTTGTGAGTATAGGCGTCTCTTCCATCTTTAACTTACACATTTGCACTGCCAGTAAAGAGGCAGTTACCAATACGGAGAATACAACAGCAAAACGTGAAAAGTGGTAAATTGAGTGTGACAAGACTGAATAAATTGCACCACTTAGCAGCTATTTCAGGAATCCGATGTATGCACTTACTGACTATTAGATTGCACTGCAATTCATTACAGCGGCCAAGCTATTATGTTGAAGTTTGAAGTTCCCATTTTGCATTCCCAATGTCCATTCCAGCATCTTTACATACCCGTTCGGAGGGAGAGGTTTCTGCAGAAGTAGCTGGCTCGATGCAAGTGTGTGTTTGTCTCTGTTTTTACAAGATGGGGAGGGAGGTGTTTGCTTTGTAATTGAAGTTTAGCTAAGCTCACGTTCCAATGTGAAGTTTTGCTACTAATTAATCATTTCAACACCAGCTTGGATCTCTTTGGTCTCGAGCTGAAGAGACATAGCTGCACACCTGCTTCACCAGTCAGTGGCATTTCACTTTTACTATTCTGGTGTTTTTATCCATAACTATTCAAGCCACACAGTTTTGTTTGGAACTCCTACAGGAAGGACAATTTGGACTCTTTCTTATAGAGCTCATATACTATATATACCTACAAAAGTAGTAATATATCTCGAGTCATTTTTTAAAACTGTATGCATGTAGGTAAATTGATACATTTTGATTAGTACCACGCAGATAAAAATAACTAAAATCATCTAAAAACAGTTCTAAAAAGTGTTTGTTGTTTTGTTTATAATATATTTTTTGACTGAGTGATCTAAACTGATTGAGAGGAAAAAGTAAAAAATGTTAGGTTAAAGATGGAAAAAGTCATGGAAAAAAAAAAATGTTTCGGTCAAAACATGTTTTGAAAATATGTAGTGTGGGATAATGCCATGGGAAAAAGTAAAAGCATTTATATATGAATAAAAAATAAAACAATTGAACATGTTATGTAAAAAAAAAACGTTATGCAAAAAAGTAAAAAATGATTCAGTCAAATGTTTAAAAAAAAAAAGAAGTAAAAATGTTATGTCGAAAAAATGCGAGGGTGAAAAATACAGTATTGCTGTCAGTATT